TATTTGTCAATTTCGATGGCGCCACAACCTACTAAGGCACGATTTGTCTCACTAACCAGTCCGCTCTTGTAGTAATGAACGTCCTACGTTTCGAATTCTTTATATGGTAATGCGATCAAGCATACAATTTGCAACCCACAAATCACTACTAATCTCCTTATATGAATTCGCCTAAAGGTAATATATTACAATTAAGAATTTGCGATGTAAGAAATGCAACTCTGTTGTATGTAATGGCATTATTGCGCGTTACTTTCAACCGAGCATATTTCATAGTCTTTTTAAAATATATTTGTCTGCGATTTCTTGGCTGCAAGCCAAGTGCAAATTAGCGGCAGTAAGCAGGCGTTGGCCGGCATTAGCGCCGGCGGAGCACTAGGGCTCCGCGAGGATATAGGCAGCAGCACTGCCCATTACGGCAGCACCGAGGGAGCGCTAGCGCTCCATCTAAGCGAGCGTTGGCCGGCATTAGCGCCGGCGGAGCACCAGGTCTCCGCGAGAGTGAGTTACACACCAGGTACGCCCCCGCAACTAACGAAGTGGAATTATCCACTCATCCACATCCATTTATCCACACATGGCGACCGTAACAGTGGCTTGCAAAATGGTGGCGTCTGCGTTTGTCATGATAAAGGCAAAAGCCTACAAAAATTGAAGAAACTATAAAAACGTGAAAAAAGAAGAAAACTAACTAGAAATGTTACCTAACTAAAAAAAACCAAAAAAATATAAAACAAAATAAAAATACATGAACTCAAAATACTATGGTGGCGGTAATAAAACAAAACTAAACGTTACCTAACTACAAAAAAAAACGAAAAATGAATTTAATTTAATTTAAACGAAACAAGCAAAAACGAAGCAAACTATTGGTGGTGGTAATAATTACAAATAAATAAAAAAACCTACAAAAAAAATAAAAATAAAAAAAAGCGGTGGTACCAAATTTTACAAACTTTATAAAAAGAACAATGACTTAAAAACCAACAATTAACGGTTAAAAAAAATACAAAAAAAGCGGTGGTCCCAAATTTGAAAAACTACTAAACAAAAAATGGTTGGTGGACCGGTAGCAGAAAGAAACATTGCGAAACGTGAAATCAAGAACAACAACAAAAAAGTGCGGTAAAAACTAAAATTTCAAAACTGGAACTATTGAAAGTGCAAGTACTGTACCACAACCAAAACGCGTCATACATCCGTTGTATAACGGCACACAAACCACGCCATCCATCAACCACAGCTGTACCCATGACCACGCCATGCAACCGTTGTATAACGGCATAGACACCACGCCATAAAAGCGTCGCTAAGCCTTGGCGCGACGCAAGACAGCGAACCGTTTTGGTACAGACTGCAGCGGTGGAACAATCAGCGAGAACACAGCAACATCATCAGTAGCAAGAGAGAGCAACAAAGAATAGCGTCAACGAGTAGCGGTTTGCAGCATGGTATGATGCACAGTGTGCAAAAATTTCGAACTTTTTTTTTT